ATATAATAGAACTCTTGTAGGCACAGTTGTTTTGTGTATATTTTCTTTTCCGATTAATTGGTTTAGTGATCTACGGGGAAGAGTTAGTAAGTCTGTTTTTAATACTATAGTTATATTATAATATATTAATTAAGTTACTAATTTTTTTAAATTTAGCTTTATGCTTATGTAGAATTTTTACTACTGTAGCTACTTCTGAAGCATATAAAGAGATGTTTAATTTATTTTTTAATTATATTGAAATATTAACTTCTCAAAAGCTTCAATTTCAACATATTCATAATACAGGATTAGGCTGTATTATTGTTAATTTAGATTTAGCTTAAGCAAAAGGTCTTGCAAAAGCATTAAAAATAATTGATTCTTCAAAAAAAGGAAAAGAGCATTTAGAATATATTGTTAAATCATGTAGAGTTCATTTTCAAAGGTAAATAAATAATTTATTATTTATAAATATAATTATTAATAAATTAAATTTTTTAATTTTTTAATTAAATTTTTATTTAATAATAATTATTTAATAATAGAAATATTCATTATAGCAATTATTCTGAAAATGCAAAAGCTTTAATGAGAGAATTAATTAATTAAACAAGTAAAAAAAATATTTAACAACTTTTTAAATCTTTAGAAAAATTAAATGAACCAAAAATTCAAAGTAAGTTATTTAATTTATATAATTTTTTAAAAATAATTATTTTATATTATTTTAAATTTTTTATTTTTAGATTGGATTTCATTTTATAAAACTTCTTGAATATTAGCTTCATTAACAGAAGCTTATACTAAGATACCAATTAATTTATAGAATTCAACGCTATTTGATCCAAATATTGCAGAGTCAGCACATGCATCTGTTAATAGAGAAGGAACAAAATTAAAACTTAGAACAGCAATTATAAAGTAAGTATTATTAATTTATTGATTTATTAATTTATTTAAAATAAATATTTTACTAATTTAATTTTATAAGAGGTTAGAATTTTGATTTATTAGCTTATAAAAGAATTGAAATACATAATCAATTTTCAATTTCAAAAACAAATAAAGATATTAGTATAATACAAAGAAAATATAATGCTAATAAAAGAAGAGGTAAATATTAAAATTATTTTTTAATTTTTTTAAAAATTTTAATTTATTTTAAATTAATTAATTAATTAATTATTATTTAAGGTAAAAAAATTACAAGCATTAAAAACCCAAAAAGTAAACAAAGAAATGCACCTATTAAAAAGAAAGCAAAAACTAGAATTGTTTCAAAAAATATTGAAGAATTATCTTCAAATTATGCTGAAGGCTCAAAATCAGTATTTTCAAAAGAAGAAAGAGAATTAGCTTTAAAAGAAAAAGAATTGGATATCTCTATTAAAGAAAGAGAAGTTGAAATAGAAAAACAAAAACAAGAAGCTGAAATAGAATTTGAAAAGAAAAAATTAGAAAATGAAAGAATTAGATTAGAATTGCTTGCTAAAAAAATTGAATTAAAAAAAAAAGCAAAACAATTAGATTTAGATAAAATAGAATTTAAATAATTATTTTTTAATTAATTAAATAATATTTCTATAAAGCTATATATTATATATTAAAAATGCTATTGAATTTAAAAATAATAATATATACAATAATATTAATAGTCAATATTAAATGACAACTCTTTCCGATGATCCTTTTTTCCAAAAATTCGGAAAAGCAAAAAAACAAAAATTTTATTGTAGATAATGAAGAAGGTTCTTTTACAATACAATGATTTTTACAGAGGTCAACTAGACTTGCTACTAGAGACTTCTTTGTATATTTAACATGTAAGCTAAAAGTGATATTATATAAAATAACTAGCAGGTAGAGCTCTTGTATAAAAAATTTTAGTAAAAAGACAAAAAAGAAGAGCTCTTTGTTTACGAAGTTAGTAAAAGAAGACTTAAGAATAGGGGATAATAATCTATTTTGTCTACACACTCCTTTGGGCCTCAGAAAGCAATATTCTACCACAAGCTTTTCCTTCCTGGTCTTCCTTTTTTTTGACAAAAGTAGAGAATCTAGGTTTCTCCTACAAAAGATCAGCATTGTTTACTCCTTCCATTTTTGGAAATACTCTATGGATGTGCAACCTCATGCAGTAAACAAAGTCATATACTTTGTTTGTTGTTATGTCTATAACATGACCTTGATGCTATAGAATTTAATTTTCTAAGATAGATTTTACGTTAGAAAGAGAATTATTCGAGATAGGTTATAAGTTGCACAACTTAAAATTTTTAAGCCTGACTCAGGTTATAGGGTACTTGGTTATCTTTTTTCTTTTTCTGTTTTTTGTTCTATATTAGTTTTCTTTACCTGTGGCAAGTTTTTCTAGTATAGATTTCGTTATAAACTGTGACTACTTAGGTCTATACAATTTTTAATCTTTTTATATTTTAAGACTAGGTACTAACTTCTCTTTACTTAGCTCTAACTAGGTAGAAAAGGACCTGGGATCTTGATATATAGCTGGAAGTTGCCTTTGTTGATCGGATTCTGGGTGTCTGTATATACAGATTAAGGTTTTCATGAGAAAATAGCTCTTGCGGCAGATTGAACTTGGGTATCCTTGAGGTAGCCGAGTTAGTCCGAATTAGTCTAGAAAGAACAAATTAGTATAATTTTTTATATTAGACTGTTTTTTGCTTATTATAAGCTTTCTCTTAATAAATGACAGGCAAGATCACTTAAGATATAAAAAAAAAATATTATTATTAATATTAATAGTTGGCTTTCTCTAAACTAATATGTATAAATCAGAATAGAATCATTAAACTCAGGTTTAGTTCAAATAAACTGGAATAGGATCATTTGAACCCAGGTTTAGTTCAAATTACCTGAAATAGAAATATTTGAATTCAAGTTGGGTTCAAATGAACTGGAATAGGATTATTTGAACTCAGAATAGAATTGTTTGAACTTGGGTCTGGTTCAAATAAACTCAGAATAGGATCATTTTGGTTCAAATGATTCTATTCTGAGTTCAAATAATCTTATTCCAGTTCATTTGAATCCAAGTTGGGTTCAAATAAACTGGAATAGGATAGGTCTAGTTTAAATAAACCCAGAATAGGACTATTTTGATTCAAACGAACCAAAAACAAGCACAGATCCTATTAGAAAAACTATAATATTAGGACTAAGGAATGGCAGGTTATATATGGAACAGACTTAGTGGATCAATTTTTGATCGATTTTGGGAGGGTCAACTGTATTTTCACAAATAATTAATTAAGGGTGTGACCAATCATAGTCATAACAAATAGTATGTGACAAATATCAGCTATTCATCACATAATGATTGGTCACACCCTTCATTAATTATTTGCGAAAGTATTAAAAAAATTTTTAGGTACACAATTAAATAATAAATTTAAACTGTACCGTACCTAGAAAAAAAAATTTTCAACTAGGTACAGTTTGTTATAATAGTACCGCTTAGTACTATAATATTTTGCGTACCTAGTGGGTACACAAAAATTACTAGGTACGTATAAGCACATCAATAATACACTGTACCGTACCCAATACCTAAGACTGTACCGTACCCAATGGGGTAATACCTAAATTGGCAGAGCATTCTCAAAAGTAGCATTAAGTTCAAATGACTTGTTACTGCAGTTTTAAATTCAGGTCGTTAAGAAACTTTTAATTTAAAAGTTTTCCAATAATTTCAAATTTTTTTTTTATAAAGATCAAAAATATGAAATTATATTTTAAGTTTCACTCAAAAAAAGGTGCTTTAAAAGATTTTTGTGCTTCAAATATCGTTAATTTATGAATTCAAAATTATAATCAGATAATATATAAACGCAGATTATTGGACATTTCACTTGACCGCTAGTAATCAATTTCTAACATTAAACCATAATACTAGTGAAAGAATTAAGAGTCTTAAAGCTCGAAAAATTTTTGCCACATGAGGTTAAAAAATAGTTTAGTAAAAAATAACAATTTTACTGTATAACATAACAGATAAGAAATTTCTGTCCTTAATACGTACAAGATTTAGTTCAACTATTATGTGTTGTTTATATAACCAATAGGTACAGTACTTGTTATTTTATTTCATGTGACATATAATAAGTTTTATGCCTTGTACCGTTGGCACCATGCCAGGCAATGTACCGGGTTTGCAGAACCCTAATTACTTACACCATATAGATATATAATTTTTTTATTTATTGCGCTTTTAACACCGAAAATCAGGAATTTAGAAAAAATGATTTATTTTATTGATTTTTTAACCAATCATATATTAGATTCTTGATTCCCAATGTATGTGGAATTTGCGCAATAATAAAAAAGTTAGCAATGCAATAAACCTTTTTATATTTTATTATTAATATTATTACTACTGTACGTATAATCGTGAAATAACGAACATGGATATGATTTCTCTTCAAAAATTACATTTCTTTTTGAATACTACATCCTGAAATAATATGCACTTTAATTTACATTTATTAATAATTTATTAATATTTAAGAGACGAACAATATTATTAGCTACAGAAATTATTTATATTTCTAAATTATAATATTATTCTATTTTTGTAAAGACATAATTTAACATGTTGCTTGCTTATTAATTAATTTTATTAAATATTGATCTTGAATTTAATTTAACTTCTTACAAGTTATAATTTTTAGTTTTATATTTAAACCCGGCCGGCCGACTTTTTTTTTTAAATTTTATATGTAAAAATTTTTACAGCTGTTTTCATAAATTCTGGACATCTGGTCTGAACAAATATTGCCGGTTCGATAAGTTTGTGATTCGGCAGTGATAAACTTTTGATTTGGATGTGAATTACAGTAATTCACATCCAAATCAAAAGTTTATCACTACCGAATCACAAACTTATCGAACCGGCAATATTTGTTCGGACCATTTTTTGCCAGATGTCCCAGAATTTATGAAAACAGCTGTAAAACATAAAAAAATTTTTTTTGAAAGTTTTCAAGCTTTGATCCGGCCGGGTTATGAAAACCAATTCATTAATTTTATATGGCAAAATTACAATACTATTTTTTTGATCCAATTTTTTATTAAATAGCAGGTTTTTCCATTTTGCCAGCAAGTATAATCCTGTATGTCACGTGATTAATGATCAAAAACCTGGCACAGAATTTTTAATGTTACTACAGTACTATAACCAAACTATAGGATGATTTTACTAAACGTGCATTTAAAAAAAATATATAGTGTGTGCATTTAAAAGATGACTGTGTAAACTTCAAAACCGACCTATGATTAACTACTAATTGAACAACCACACTTACTCAATTCAATTACATTATTATATTGCATTTATTAAAATAAAAAAATGAACGTTAAGCCATTAATTATTCAACATTTCTATTCTATTGAAACTGAAATAATTCTAAAATGTATCCTATTTTATTTAAATCCATAGGACGTAAATGTCCAGCATAAAATTGCATCGCATAATGTACAACTCAATATCAAACTTACGTCAATCTTGATTGGTAATAGATTTCCTAACCAACGCTCTTTGTCTTGCAGCTTCAATAACCTCCAATCTTTTTCTTTTCTTTTCATCATCTTGATTCTTTTCTTGTACATCAATCATTAATTTACCGTTATCCTCATTCATATTATCAGACACATTTTCATTTTTACTGTTACTATAAGACCCATCCAAATTTGCTGTCGCTAGCTTTTTAAATAAATTGAGTTTTTCTTGCACCCATTCTAGTTTAACCTTGCTAACAACTTTCATTAGAGCCTTATTCGTATATAAAACACTATGATAAGTTACCCAATCCAAATCATCAACCTTAACTACTTTATTATCAGGATGTAACGAGGATGTAGGAGAAATATGTAATGCTAACAATGACGAATTTGAATCTATAATCTCACTACCAGGGCCGGTGGCTGATGCGTAGTGATAAAATACCGGACGATGTGGATGCCTTTTCGCTAAATTTATATAATAAGAAGAAGAAAATGATTCAAGCATTTTCTCAACATTATACTTAGCATCTTGATAAGAGTTTCTTCGCTTTTTCCTCTGTCTATTACCATCATCATTGACTTGATAATTTTTTAGTCGACATGAAATCAATGGAAGATCATGTTTTTCCATCAATTCTCTGAGTTGATCACGAACACTTTTAGCCATCGATAACGCTCGATAATTAAGGTATCTATCTCTACACCAATCACGCCTATAACCACTATCTCGATACCTTTCAAAAATGTTCAATAGCATCATGTGATCACCTGAGAGATGGTAGAACTCTTTTCTTTTTTCATCAGCATCCAATTGCTTTTCAGTATTTCTTGGAGATACGAATATTTCCTCAACTGAAAGCATTGCCACTATTATTACAACCTCTCGACTACATCCATATTGTCTTGCACTCGCGATTAATGCCTTGGATAAAAAAGGACTCAATGGAAAAATCGACATTTCGCCGCCTAACGAAGTAAGTTTTCCAGTATCGTCTATAGCTTCCAACAAAAAGAGTTGTTTTAAAGCGTTTTTTACTAGGACCGGTTCAGGAGGATCAATAAATTCAAAATTAATAATATCATTGATCCCCATTTTCTTTAAACTAAGTACTGTACCCAGTAAACTACTCCTTTGTATCTCCGGTACGGTATCTTCATCCATCTGTTCGTAAGACTCACGACTATAAAGTCTAAAAGCTTGGCCTGAAGCTGTTCGACCAGCACGTCCGGCTCTTTGAGTGGCGGCAGCTTGGGAAATAGGCACAACTAAAAGAGCATCCATTCCAGTTGTCGGATCATAAGTCTTTTGTTTCACAAATCCAGAATCGATAACGTATCTTAAGGAATTTGATAGTTTTTAATGTAAAGTTAGAAGAAAATTTTCGTTATTTAAAACATATATACGAAAATATATATACAGTATTTAAAATAGTTACTTGATATCAGGTATTGTTACAGAAGTCTAAAAGAATGATAATATGGTCAGTTAGATGTAAAGTTATAATTAAATAATTTAATAATAGAAATAAAAAAATTCATTACCTGAGCAACGTTAGTTGCAAATACAACCTTTCTGGTAAATCTGGGTGGTTCATCAAATATAGCCTTTTGTTCCATAGTCTCCAATGAAGCATAAATAGGGTATATCACCAAGCCTCTTACATCATCACAATATTTAACATCAGTTTTATAATTTAAGTCCCGATCTAAAGCTTCAAGGTCTCTGCAAGCTTTTTCTATTTCATTCTGGCCGGTCAAAAAGACCAAAATATCACCTGGAGGTTCTTGAGTATGAATATATAAGGCAGTCTCTACAGAACGTTGAACATAAGTCGATTTAAGGCTAGAAATCTTTGCATCACGGTGATGATTAATTGCTACATCATAAGTTCTCCCAGGAATGATAAATATTGGACAGCTGTTAAAAAAATCTGAAAATTTTTCGACATTAAGAGTGGCAGACATTACGAGAATCTTTAATTCAGGACGTAAACGATGAGTTTCTTTTAATAACCCAAACAAGACATCAGTTTCCAATGTCCTTTCGTGAGCTGAAAGTTCAAAATTATAAGTAATTTAGAATTTAGAATTCAAAATTTAAATTAAATATAATCAATATCAAACATACCTTCATCAACAATTACAACATCATAATGTTCTAAACGCGGATCAATAGTTGCCTCACGCAACAAGACACCATCAGTCATATATTTCAAACGTGTTCTTGATGATGTACAATCGTCAAATCGTATACAATATCCGATATCATCGCCTAATCTAGATCCATGTTCTTCAGATACTCGATTCGCTACAGTAATCGCTGCTATACGTCTATAAATTGAAAACAAAGGTAAAGAAATATACTCGAATTATCGTATTTATATAAACTTGTTTACAACAAACCTAGGCTGAGTTACCCCGATCAACCTGTACTCTGGAAAACTTTCTAAAATGTACTGAGGTATCTGTGTTGTTTTGCCAGATCCTATAATTTTTAAAAAGGAATTAATTTCAATCAAATGATTAAAAGTAGATTGTCACATACCTGTTGCGCCGATAACTACGAGCAAAGGTTCATTTTTTATCGCGTCAATTATTTCTTGTCTATAAGGAAAAACCTTATTTAATCAAACAACACATCAGAATAATAACTTTAAAAAAAGGACAAAATAAGAGTAGGAAAAAAACTTACTGGCAGTGATTCCCTTTGTTTTATTATCTTCGTATTAACCATACTTTTTTTTTTTTTTTTTTACGCACGGCGCTTAAAATCAATTTATTGAAATTTTATTTTCACTAATTAAAAATTGAATCGAATAGTTAATTACTGGAGCAAAAGTTTCATTTTTGATAGATCTGCGGTTACATTTTTGAAAGATCTACAATGTACTCAAAATTTGATTACGTTCTTGATGCACTTTTAGTAAAATATTTTTGAACTTTGAGCGAATATATCGATATTTCAATAACTACTTGACCAAATTCGAAAAAAATTTGTTTTAATTCTATGGATACAATATATGGAATTTAAATAAAAAAATTCATCGATTTTGATCGGGCGGTTGTTAAGATATCTCAACAACCACCTGATCAAAATCGATAAAATTTTTTTTATTTGAATTCTATATATTTGTAGAATTAAAACAAAAAAAAAATCATCGAATTTGGTCGAGTAGTTATTGAGATATCTTCGTTAAAAGTTTTAGAAAAAATTTGGCACACCTATTTTAAGACGTTTTGAATTTGTTTACTAACTTTGAGTGAAAATATCTCAACAACCGCCTGATCAAAATCGATGAATTTTTTTATTTATTTAAATTTCATATATCCATAGAATTAAAACAAAAAAAATTCTTCGAATTTGGTCAAGTAGTTATTGAGATATATTCGCTCAAAGTTCAAAATATTTTATTAAAAGTGCATCAAGAACGTAATCAAATTTTGAGTACATTGTAGATCTATCAAAAATGTAACCACAGATCTATCAAAAATGAAACTTTTGCAACTGTATCGCCAATATAATTATTTCACGTGATCAAAAAGCAATAAATTTTTTGTCTCCGCCAAACACCCTAATACTGCACGTGGATGGCCAGCATATTTAAATATATGTACTCATAATGCATCTATTTTTAATCCATATCCAAAAAAGTAAAAATTAAACTAGTTCAAGATACTAGATTTAAGAAAAAGTTGAAATGAAAATTTAACAATATGTGGTGACAGTGAGATTCGAACTCACGCCCCATTACTGAGACTGCGACCTGAACGCAGCGCCTTAGACCACTCGGCCATGTCACCTTGATAGTAGATATGAACGAATCTTTTCTTTTTTTTATAATATCATAAATCATATATAGAAATGATCACTCAATAACATATGTACGTCCGTCCTTTATCTATCAGATATTATGTTGCACGTATCATAATTTTTTTTTTTTTTTTACAAAAACTGAATTAATCTAGTGGATTTCAATTTGTATATGACCTCTTAATATAAATAAATATAATACAAAAATTACATCCAAAAACAGTAAATTAAAAAGCACATTTTACGTTAATTTGAGTGATCATATATATATATAATTAAATTATAACATCATTTATACTCATTAACTGTTAAGTACATAACATAATTTTTTATCAAATTTCTATCACTTTACTAAAAAAAAGGGTTAAACTAATATATAATATTAGCATAGTATTTAGTATAGTTTTAGCATAGTTCTTAACAAAGTATTCAGTATAGTTTAGTATAGTATTTATTT